CCGCCCCTCACCACGCAGGGTCGCGCTGTCCCCCCCCCCGCGGGGCTGCTTGCCATGCAGGCGGCGCGCAGCCCGTCCTTGTCACACGCGTCACCGTCACCGCGAGCCCCCCATGCATATGCATGGCTGGGGAGCGCGGGGGGGTTCAAGGGCAGCACGAACCCCCCCTCCCCTCCATGGTTGCAGATTCCCCCCCCTCATGCCCGGCTGTCCCGCTGCCATTGGGTGGGTGTCACTGTCACGCACGTGTCCGGCCGCATCTGGAGGCGGGGGGGGGCGGGGGGGGCGGCGGGAACCGGCCTCATGCGCCAGCAGGGGGGGCTCGTGTGCTGCAATGGGGCTGCACGCGTTGCAGGGGGGCTGTGCGTGTTGCAGAAGGGCACTGCACGCTGCAGTGGGGCTGCATGCCTTGCAGTGGGGCTGTGTCTGTTACAGGGGGGACTGCACACTGCAGTGGGGGGTACAGCACGCTGCGGTGGGGCTGTGAACAGTGCGGTGGGGCTGTGCACACGGCAGTGGGGCTGTGTGTGTTGTAGAGGGTCACTACACACTGCAGTGGGGCTGTGCACATTGCAGAGTCATTGCATGCTGCAGTGGGGCTGCATGCGTTGCAGCGGGGCTGCACGAGTTGCAGGGGGCACTGCATGCTGCAGTGGGGCTGTGCGTGTTGACGAGGGTCATGGCCTGCTGCAGTGGGACTGCACCCCGTGGTGGGGCTGTGCATGTTGCAGTGGGGCTGTGCATGTCGCAGAGGTGCATGGCCCGCTGCAATGGGGCTGTGCATGTTGCAGGGAGTCACAGCATGCTGCAGTGGGACTGTGCATGCCCAAGTGCACCAGCACACATGCAGATGCATGTGGGGAACGCCAGGCCCTGCCCTCGCTGCAGGGCAAAGCAAGGGGGGCTCCCCTTCCCCCCCCCCGCACCGTGGGGCAGCGCCAGCCCCCTCTGCAGCCCATGGGACCCCGAGCGCAGGGCAGGAGCAGCCGCAGCCCCCTGGGTCAGGCTCCGGGGGTCCCAGCCCGGCCCCCCCTGCCTCCCGCCCGGCCGCCGCATCCCCTTCCCTCCCTCCCTCCCTCCCGCCATCTCCGCCCGGGAAATAATCAGGAGATATAAATGCATCGAGGGGCGCCACAGCTGCGCTCGCGGGGTCCGGGCGGCGTGAGCGATGGGGTGACAGCGGTGGGGTGACAGCGGCGCAGGCCACCACGCTCCGGCCCTGGGCACGCGGTGAGAGGGCGGCAGCAGCTCCCAGCGCCGCGGCGCCAACCGAGCGCCCGGTACCGGTGCCCCGGTCCCCAAAGGGCCGCAGGTCCAGCAGAACCGGCGCGTCCAGCAGAACCGCGCGGCTGCCCCGGCTGCTCCTCCCCCGGGTCCCCACCAGCCGCCGTCAGGCAGCCTCTAAATGCTGAACCATTAAAATTTTCCAGCTCATTTACTGCTTCTCATATGGTTAATTTTACCAGGACTCTCTATTTATTTATTTGCAGGGCTGGGGGGGGGTTACAAGCTGATTTGCTGCAGCTGGAAAATGGGGGGGAGGAACCACCCCGGGAAGAGGGGGAGGCTCCAGCTAATTTAACAAATGAGGAGAATAGCTTAATTAGAGTCATCTGGAAAACTGGGTAACCCCCTTTGATGAGCTCGGGAGCACATGCAGGATGGTTCATGCTCTGGGCTGGGGCAGGGGGCTGGTGTTGGGGCCCCCCCAGGCACCCTCGGCCGAGCAGATGGCCCTCATTACACACGGGGCTTAATTGGATTGATCAGCAGTTAATAGGAAATTAAGTGGTGAATCCCCCTCCCTGCCCTGCTCTGCCACGAGCAGCCTGGCAGGGGCCTGGGGTCCCAGCTGGGGACACAGCCGGATTCCTGCTCCGGAGATGCAGCCGGGGGGGTCCCAATCCAGGGATGCAGCTGGATTCCCACTGTGGGAGTGCAGCCAAGGGGTCCCAATCCAGTGATGCAGCTGGATTCCCACTCTGGAGACGCAGCCAGGGGGAGTCCCAATCCAGGGATGCAGCTGGGCTCCCAATCCAGGGATGCAGCCGGATTCCCGGTCCGAGGATGCAGCCGGGTTCTCAACGCAGAGACACCACTCAGCTCCTTGTCCAGGGATGCAGCCGGATTCCTGATGGAGGAGGCAGCTGCACTCCAGGGTCAGGGGTGCAGCTGGATTCCTGGTCTGGGGATGCAGCTGGGGTCCTGGTTGAGGATGCAGCTGGTTCCCCATCCAAGCTCTGCTCCCAGCGCAGGGCTGCGGATTCCCAGGCCAGGATGGGGCTGCAGCTCTGCAGGCTCAGCCCTGCGTGGGTGGTTTGTGCAGCGGGGCTGCTCCTGCCCCACGGGGACATTGGGACCCACCGGATTAATCCCCTCAATTTCTCCGTGTGCCGCAAGAAAGGTCAGGAGTCTTTGCGGGACCTGGGAATTAATTGCAATCCCGGTGATCCTCTGCCAGATCCGTGTGTCCTCCCAGGGGAGCGGCAGGGGACGGGGAGGGGGCGCCAGGGCAGAGCGCGGAGGGGGGGCCCGTCCATCACTTGTCCCTGCGGGTGAGACCTGTCACCCGCGGCCTGGCCCCGGCTGCCCCCGGCGCCCGCGCCGCCTTCCTGCACCCGGCGCTCCGGGGCCCCTCTCGAGCTGGAGGCAGGGAAATAAATGCATTAAACTAAACTAAACTCTGTCATCTGCCTCCTTCCCGCACCCCCCCCCGCCCCAGCCATAAATCAGCATAAATGCAATTTACATATTCATGGTATTTATCCACTAACTGTCCTGTCCCAGATTAAACGCGCCCTGGGGATCACCAGGCCTCCTTATCTGCGCTGGGAGCTCCGGGAAGGAGGAGCGGTGGGAAGAGGAGGGTGCCCCCCCCCAGGGGTGGCAGTGGAAAGGGGGGGGGGGTGACTCCCCCTTTTCCAGGGCAGCTGCTCCACGATCGGGGACCTGGGAGTCCCCGGGGGCTCCAGCGCTGCCCGCTGCCCGTGAGCAGCCCTGGTGCAGCCGGCGCCGAGCTCGTTACAGGGGATTTAATGAGGGCAGCGGCAGGCGCTGCCGGGGGCTGTTTGTCACCGTGTCACATCCTGACGTGGAGCAGCAAAGCGCAGCCCCACGGCGCGGAGCAGCCCCACGGCCGCCCTGCCCACAACAGCCCCATCTTTGGCCTGCCCCAGCGGGCAGGGGAGCCGGGGGGGGTCTCCCCCTTTGCTCTGCGCCCCATGCCCATGGGGTAGGGGCCGTGGGACCCACAGCCCGGTCCTCATCCTGCTCCCAGCCGCCTCTGGCCCCGGGGGCTGCCCTTGGGGGTGGGCGCTGGGGCAGGGGGTTGCACTGCACCCCATGCCCCCCCTGCAGGAGTTTGCCGCGCTGCGGGATGCCCGGGCCCCGCGATGCAGCAGCCTGGGGCTGCGCAGCGCCGGCGGGGCGGGATGTTTGCACCGTGTTTGCAGACGGGAGCCCTTCCCGGCTCTCCAACGAGCTGCATAAACAGGAGCCCGCGGGCAGCGTTAATTAGTTAAATATTTGGCGAGGCAGGAGGCACGGGCAGAATCCCAACAAGCTGGGGGGGACATTGGGGGGAAGATGGGGGGGGGAAAAAGGGGGTCTGCTCTGCGCTGTCCCCAGGATGGGGAGCCCCAGCTGCCCAACCAGCCTGTCCTTGTTGGGAAGCTTGTTGGGAAAGCGGGGGGCCGAGGCGCCCCCCCCAAATTCTCTGCACAGCCCTGGTGGGGGGCGAGACCCCAGGCCCGAGCACCAGCCCTCCCCTCTTCCCCCCCGGCCCTCCCTGGACCCCTGCCCATCTCCTGCCCCCTCCTCAAACTCATTGCCAAATAATTAAGGGAGGATGAGCCCCCCCGAAGCCTGGCTGGGGACCGGCGGCCGCACGCAGCTCCCGTCCCCGCAGCCCCTGCGCTGTGAACTAAATCCATCCTAATTAGCAGTGATTTGCATGGGGAAATGAAAATTAATCTAGCCTGGGTTCGTCGGAATTAGCGATTCCAGTTGGGCACATCTGAGCCCCGGGGCAGCCGCTGCTGCGGGGACGGGCACCGGGAGGCCCGGGTGCCCCCCGGCACCCGCTTTTTCCATATTCTCCATAGGCAGCTCCATATACTCCACATGGGCGTCCCGGTGCCCACGGCTGCCCCACGCGTCACGTGCGCACGTGGGGCGGGAGCGCCTCATTCCCACGCCAGAGCCGCGGTCCGCAGGAGCCCCGGAGACCCCCGGGGACCCCGGCCCGCCCGGCCCCGCGGCTCATTGGTATGGGGCCCGCGTGGGCGCCGCGGGCGGACGCTCATCCTCCCGCTCATGAAAAATTAACGGGGAGCAAAAATTAACCAGGAGCGAAAATTAACCGGGAGCGAACAGCGAAGGGGGCGAGTGGCCCCGGGCGCCGTCACCGCTGCAGAGGGCACCCCGCGCAGGTGCCCCGTGGGGATGGTCGGGGGTCCCGAGCCGGGGGTGCCGGGGGGGCTCTGCGGCCAGAGCCCCGCGGCCGCCCAGGCTGCTGCTTCCTCGCAGCGCGGCGGCTGCCGCCCCCTCGCAGGCTGTAAACACTCAATTAAGCCCGAGCGCCTGGTCCTGCCTTCCCCGGCGCTGCTGCTAATTACGGAGGTTTTTCGGTGTCAGGCGCCGCGGGGAAGCGCGATTACCGCTAATTGGAGCGGGGCTGCCCAGCCTGAGCCCTCCGGCGGCGGCCGCTGGCTGGGGGCTCGGGGCTGGTTCTTCAGGACTGGGGGGGACATTTGGGACGGGGTCCCGGCGGTTTGGGGGGGGGGAATGGGGATGTTGGGGCTCGGGCGCGCGAGCTCGGCCGGGCTCCGTCTCGCCCGGCGCAGCTCCGTCCCCGCTAGTATCTTTGTCACAATGAAGGAAGAGGCTATTATGTTTATTAAATTGTATCATGGCAGCGTTACAGCAATTGGCAGCTGGTGACCCCGGTTATTTATAAAACAGGCTTGGAAAATCGCAGCTCCGGGCTTGGGCTTTTCTTCAGAGAATCACCGGAAAAAAAAAAAAAAAAAAAAATCGAATCGATCCCGGGGGCTGGCACCGAGGCCGGGGGTAACTGCAGAGCCGGGTGCAAGAAAGGCCCCGGCCCGGGGTCCCCTGGGCAGCCGGGACCGAGCACCCCGTGATGGATGGGGGGGATCTGGGTGATAACAGCCCTTAAAGGAGGCTGCAGGGGTGTGTGATGGGTGCCGGGCCGGCCCCTGGGTGCTGGGGCGGGCGCCGGGTTGGTGAGGTCACAGGGGGCTCTGTGACGTCACAGGGTGGGGGGGTTGTGACGTCACGGGGCAGGTGGCCCCAGCAGGGTACGTGGGGGGGAAGGGGGCGGCGGGGGCTGCGGCCGGTCCCGTCCGTCCCCATCCATCCTGAGTCTCCCCCGTTTGCTGCTTTTCCCAGCGGGATTTTTTTTCCTGAGGTTTCCGCCCCCACCCCCAGCCAAAATCCTGGGAGGGGTCGGGGAGGGGGGGGCGCCGCGGTGCCCGCAGCGGGGGGAGCGGCGCGGGGGGGCTGCGGCACCGCGCTCAGGTGCGGGCACGTCCAGCCCCGAGCCGCAGCATCTCCCATTAATGAAGCACTTCATCACTGCGGCGTTGCGGGGAGCGGGGGGGCACCCAATTCGGGATGATAAATTCCCCGCGACGGCCCCGCGCTCGCTCGCAGCAGCCGTGATTCTCCTTCATCTTGAATAATATTTTTGGAGTGATTGTAAAACACCCGCTCCGGCAGCTGCGCGAGCGGGCGCCAAGGCCTGGCGGCTCCTTCCAGCCCCGCTCCAATCTCCCTCCTCGGCTCCCTGCAGAGCCGGAGCGGCTCCCAACCGCGCCACTGCAGGGCCCTTGCACCCTCGTGCACCCTGCGTGTGCACCGTGCGTGTGCACCATCCGTGTGCACACGCATGTGCACGGCATGTGTGCACAGTGCACGTGCACCGTGCGTGTGCACTGTGTGTATGCACCATGCGTGTGTGCCATGTGCATGCACCATGTGTGTGCACCTTGCATGTGCATCATGCACGTGCACCATCCGTGTGCACAGTGCACGTGCACAGTATGTGTGCACAGTGCACATGCACAGTGCGTGTGCACTGTGTGTACGCATCATATGCGTGCACCATGCGTGTGCAACATGCGCGTGCACCATGCACAGGGAGGTTCACGCGGACATGAGTGCCCCTGCATGGCCATCGCGTGTGCGTGGGTGCCTGTGCCACCTGCCTGTGCACGTGTCACATGCAGGAGTGTGGCTGTGCACGTGCAGGGGGGCTCTTGGGAAGGGCTTGGGGCCCCCTTGCTCTCCCTAGAAGCGCTGAGGCACAAAGGGGCACTGTGCAAGTGGGGGGGTGCAGTAGCCCCCACTTATTCCTGCTGCTCGGGCGCCTCTCCAAGGGGCTGGGGTGACATAGGGACCCTCCCCGGCACCCCAGCACCCAGCCCGGAGGTGGCTGCTCCTGTGGGACGGGGCCTGTGTGCCCAGGCAGCCGCTGGAGCAGCAGGGCACGAGAGAGGTAGAGGGAAGCACAGCCTACAATTAAACCGCCTCTTAATTATAGTCATTAATGAGCACAGAGGCAGCTGGGCTTTGTGGGCAGGGAATCCCGCTGCATCTCCAGGGGCGGCTGGGATTCGTCTGCAGGGAGTTGGGAGAGCTGGAGCTCCGGGCGGGATCCCCGCCGGCCTCCAGAGGCTCCAGGGCGCTGCCATGCACCCCCCCTTGCCACGCGCCCCCCCTTGCCATGCACGGTGCCCCCCCCAAGGCCATGCGCTGCCCCCCGCTCCATGCAGCCCTCACTATCCAGCCGTGTCCTGCCCTCCCGCTGCAGCTCCATGCGGAGGGAAGCAGCAGGGCTGGAGCGCAGCTCTGGCCAGGCCGGATACACTCCGTCTTGGGGAGTGGCACTTAATCAATCCCATTCCCAAACTCTAATTATATCAACAGAGGCCTCAACACGGCGCTGCCGGCTGCGATTCCGCCCTCGCTTATTTATTTCCAGGGAAGTTTCTCCCCTTTGTCCTTCCACGCTCGGCCGCGAGGAGCCAGGACACACGCGGGGCGGCCCTGCACACGCGTGTGGCCCTCTCCGGACACGCGTGTCCACACGGACACGTGTGCAAACACCCCGGGGGGCGCTCAGCAGCAGGGACAAGGCCAGGGACCCCGGCCGGTGGCCGCAGGGCGGTCCCGGCCAGGCCGGGCGCTGCCACCTCTTCTCCAAGGGGGTTTCTGCATCCCGGGCGCTGGCAGCTCCGCACGGGGCCACCCCGGGCAGCCCCGGCTGGGGCAAGGGGGGCCGGGCGCCCCCGGCTCCGGCCGCCCACGGATCCCCCCGTCTTCAGCGGAGAGCCGGTGGATACAAATAGCCCTTCTCCACACGCGCGGCAGCATCTGTTCCTGCCAGGGAGATTTGCATCGCTAAATGTAAATTGGATGTTATGTCATTTATCATAAACGGGGGGGCGGGCGGGGGGGCAGCAAACGGGGTGGGAGTTGTCACAACAAATGAGGCGCCTCATCCTTCGCCGAGGTGCAGAGCCACCTGCGGAGCCCCTGCAGGTCCCTGCGTGCGGGGAGGGGACACGGGGCAGGAGGGGCAGCCCAGGGGGTGGCCCAGGGTGCTGCCCTGGGGCAGGGGGTACCCGGGCGCACGGAGCCCCAAGGCCGCCCGGATGGGCCCCCGTGTGTCCCGCTGCCTCCTTCCAGCTGTGCCCCGGCCCGCCCGCCCTGTCCCTCCCAGCGGCGCAGACGCCTCCCCCGCGGCCGCGGCACCGGCCCCAGCGCCGCACGCAGCCATGAAGGGCCCCCTGCTCGGAGCCATGTTCGCCCGGCACCTCAAGCGGCATCCCGGCGTGAGTGCCCCGTCCCCGCGCCCCCTGTGCCCCCCCCGGGCGCCCCCTGCACCCCCAGGGCGGCAGCAGACCCCGGGCACCCTGAGCCCTTGGCTCCCACGGCCCCAGGAGGTGCGAGCCGGTCCCCGTCCATCCCAGAGCCCCCGGAGGTCGCCTGGGTGGCACCCGCGTCCCCCGTGCGAGCGCCCGGCGCCCGAGCCCGGCCGCGCTCCCCGTCACGTCCCTTCACACCTGCCCGACGGCCGAGGGCGCTTCGGTCTCCCCCCGTCCCCGCCGCTGTCGGGTGCGCCAGGGATGCACCTATTGGGTGCACCAGGGATGGAGGAAGGGGCATGGGTGCCCTCCCCAGCAGCCCCCCAGCTGCGGAGCAGTGCGGGATGGATGGGAGCAGCGGGAGGCCAGGGGCTCTGGAGGAGAAGGGACACAAGGGCCTGGGGGCTTCCTGCAGGGAATGGCAGCGAGGTGCCCGCTGTGCCCATTGGGGAGCAGCGGTGCTGGCAAGGGAGCACCGGTGCAATGTGGGTGCCGGAGGTGGGGAGCACTGGTGCAATGTGAGCATGGCATGCGGGGAGCACTGGTGCTGGCCATATGAGCACCAGTTGGGGAGCACTGGGTTGTGCACTGGTGCAACTGGTGCAATGCAAATGTGGGGAGCACCAGCGCAATAAGAGCGCAGGGATGTGGGGAGTACTGGTCCTGGCAACGCAAGCACAGGGAAGGACGGAGCACTGGTGCAACGTGAGCACAGGGATGTGGGAAGCATTCGTGCCATGTGATTGCAGGGATGTGGGGAGCAGTGGTGCAGTGCGGACACAAGGATGTGCAGAGCGTTGGTGCAACAGGAGCACGGGGATGTGGGGAGCAGTGGTGCAACGTGAGCACAGGGAAATGGGGAGCACTGGTGCAACATGATTGCAGGAATGTGGGGAGCATTGGTGTAGTGTGGACACAAGGATGTGCCGGGCATTGGTGCAATGTGAGCACAGGGGATGTGGGGAGCAGCGGTGCTGGCACCATGAGCACAGGGCTGTGGGGAGCACTGGTGCAATGTGATGGCAGGGATGTGGGGAGCACTGGTGCAACATGATGGCAGGGATGTGGGGAGCACTGGTGCAANGCAGGGATGTGGGGAGCACTGGTGCAACATGATGGCAGGGATGTGGGGAGCACTGGTGCAATGTGATGGCAGGGCTGTGGGGAGCACTGGTGCAATGTGATCACAGGGATGTGGGGAGCACTGGTGCAACGTGATCGCAGGGATGTGGGGAGCACTGGTGCAATGTGATCACAGGGATGTGGGGTGCAGCGGTGCAGCGTGCTTGCAGGGACGCAGGGAGCAGCGGTGCAATGTGATTGCAGGGAGCAGCGGCGGCCGCGCGGCGAGCAGGGGCGCGGGGGCAGCGCGGGCGCCGGCGGCTCCGCTCGCGTGGGCACTGACGACCCTGGCAGCGCCGGGCGAGCGGCTCGTTCCGCCAGGTCGCCGCTCGGCACCGACTGGGGCCACGTGCCCCGGGCGGCACCACGCGGCGGGCAGGGGCCAGGGGGGCGCATGGGGGGCGCCACGTGCCCGGCGCTGCCCGTGGCCCCGCGGGGGTCCGTGGGGAAGGACCGGCGCAGGTTGCCGCCTGCAAATGCAATTCCCTTGCAGCGGGAGCCGATTTTTCTCTCCCTCCTTTAATTCAGTCACTCAAGATGACAGCTACACTGTGCGCGGCAGCCCGGGCAGGATTGCGCTGCCATATTTCCCCTGTAAATCTCCCGCGCGTCAGCTCTCCCTTTCACTCTCCGCTCGGCTGATAAATATTCATTTTATTGGGGTATTTTTTTCCCTTTCTCTCGGCAGCTCGTGCCGCTCATGGGCTTCATCAGCGTGGGCCTGGGCAGCGCCGTCCTGTACCTGCTGCGCCTGGCCCTGTACAGCCCCGACGTGAGGTGCGGGCACGGGGGGCCGTGTCCCTGTCACCGTCACCCCCCGGAGTGGCCGGGATGGGCGCGGAGGGGGCAGGATTCCCAGGGAGGGGAATGGGAGTCCCCTGCGCTGCTGCACAAAGGGGCTGGGGAAGGACACGAGGAGCAGGATGGAGGGATGGAGGGATGGATGGGGTGGATGGATAGGGGGATGGATGGAGCAATGAGTAGGGAGATGGAGAGATGGATGGAGGGAGGGATGGAGGGATAAGGGAATGGAGGGAGGGAGGGATGAGGGGATGGATGGATGAGAGGATGGAGGGATGGGGAATGGATGGATAGTGGGATGGATGGAGCAATGAGACATGGAGGGAGGGAGGGAGGGATGGACAGATGGATGGTTGGATGGTTGGATGGATGGATGGATGGGGGAATGGAGGGAGGGAAGGATGGATAGGGGGATGGATGGACAGGGGGATGGATGGATGGATGGATGGATAGGGCAATGGATGGATGGATGGATGGATGGATGGATGGATGGATGGATGGATGGATGGATGGGGGGATGCTGCTGCTGCTGCGGGGACCGGCTCGTGCCGACCCGCGGTGCTCTGGGAACAGGCTCCTCCATCCCGTTGATTCCTCCTGGATCCCAGCTGCGGAGCTAGGGCCATGAGCAGCTCCCGGCCCCTCATCCGCGATCCCAGGAGCCCGGGGCAGGGAGGCAGATGGAGCGTCAGCCCCCGGCCCCCACTGCACCCCCCCATCCCCCATTGCCCCCCCCCCCCCATCGCAATCCTGCTGCTTCCTGCATGGAAAATGCTGCCGGCGGCCAGCGGGGCCGGGAGCCGCCTCTGCCCCCTGGGATGCGGCCTCTGACCCCCCCGTGTCTTGGGAATGTGGCCGTCCGGGTGGAAAGCGGGGCTGGGAAGAGCATCCTACCCCCCCAGCCCCCCCATAAGCCATGATGACACCCCGGATTCCTATGGGAATCAGCCCCATCAGGGGGGTAAAATGAGATGGGGGGTAAAATGAGGGGGGTAAAATGAGAAGGGGGGAATGGGGAGGAATGCAGGGTGTCCCTCCGTGCTCCACCTCCGTCTTTCCTTGCAGCTGGGACCGGAAAAACAACCCCGAGCCCTGGAACAAGCTGGGTCCCACGGACCAGTACAAAGTGAGCACTGGGAGGGGGGGACCCTCCGCCTGCCCCTCTGTGACTCTGCAATGGTGACGGGGGACTGTCCCCCCCCAGGGCCCAACTGCAATTCCCCTGGGGGGGGCGGTGCCCCCTCCTCACACCCTTCCTCCCCCCCGCAGTTCGTGGCCGTTTCCACCGACTACAAGAGCCTCAAGAAGGAGCGTCCCAGCTTCTGAGCTGTGGAGACCCCCGGAATCACTGCATCCCCCCTGGAATCGCTGCAACCCCCCAGAATTGCTGCAACCCCCCAGAATTGCTGCAACCCCCCAGAATTGCTGCATCCCCC